TCGGTAGTAATCTCTTTTTCTTCAATTTCCGTTTCAACAATATATTGAGTATCATTAATTTTCTCATAGGTTTTAACGCGTGAATCAAAGTTGGCCTGTAAAGTTGCTTCATTCCATAAATGTCTAGTTGTGAATATATCTTTCTGAATTGATTTACCATACAAGGAATTACCTAATAATTTCATGCAGTTACTACCCACGATATTACCTTCTCGTTTATATTTATTTCTTAAATCTCTCAAAATTAAAATATAATCTCTATAGGGTGGAGTTTTAAAATTTTCTTCGTAAACTATACCATCTAATATTCTAATAATTCGTCCACCGGCTTTCACTATTTCTTGAATATCGACCGATGTTAAAACATCGTGACAGAAACCATTTCTGAACCTGATTTTGTTACCAGTTTCCTTTTTACCTTCTTTATTCGTGAAAGTTATTTTATCTTTAGCTGGTATCGGTTCGAAGAACATGTTTTTGGGATAGTCAAACCACACTGTTAAAATAGCTGTTCTAGGTCTGAATTTTTGTTTATTGAAGAGTTTTACAAATTCTCTTTTCTTCTTCTTCTGGTAGAAACGGTCTTCCACTTTCCGCTCTCGGATATTCACTGTCTAAATCCGACATGGCGGAAGCGTATAAACCGTTAGCATCAAATGCCATTAGTTTAGTACATTCTATTTTTTTAAGTCTCGAATGAACCTCCGTTTTGTCTTTTGTGCTTGCGCTGTATTCTTTGAATAAATCAATTATGTTATTACTTTCAAGTTCTGTGTCACTTCGTGTTTCACTTTGTGAAATATATTCCTTTAATACGTTACAAATTTCATCCATTTTGTTCGTTTCAAATGATTTTCTATTTGCCGAAACTCTTCCTCCTTTGATAGATCGTCTGATAAAATTTCTTATAAAAGGATTAGTGTGCGAATAAACTTTTTCTACGTTTTCTTTTTCGGTATGTTTCGCAACCATTCTAGTAGTTTCATACCATTCTTCTTCCACCATTTCTTTATCGTAATGATATAAATAATACCAACCCTTTAAAGATAAAGATGGAGCCGTTAGATTATTGGACATATTCTGGTTTACAACTTCTTTCGTGACTTGGTTGTATTTTATCAAACAAGCTCCCAAACAGAGAGTGTCTCTCTTGTCGTGTCTCAATTCCTCCCAGTTGTCTTGCGTGTATTTAGCGATATCTACGTCGGCAATCTTTCTCAAATTCGCTGGGAGATTGGAAGAATTTCCCCTTGCAGCCAAACTAGAGGATTCGTGTTGGTAGGAACACGTGAAATTAATATGTTGTAAATAATTACCCTTTATTTCTTTCTGTCTTTTCCATTTTTTCTGTAAATCTTCATCCGTGTATGGATTAGATAAAGGAAAAGATAGAATTCCTCTGGGTGTTTTTAAAGGGCAATGCGTTAGTTTTTTTGCATTTTTAAGCACGATCCAGTTGTCGAATCCACTACCGTTGTGATAAATTAATATTAATCTCTTTCTATCATATTGACCTAAATATTTCAACATTCGATCTATACAATCTGTACCTACAAATAGTTCTACTACATTCATTAGTTTATCATAAAATTCTTCTGGAACATTATCAGTAGGATTTATATTTGGAAAGATATTTTTTATCGTTTCTAACTTTTTTCTCAGTTTTTCTAAAGGAATTGCTCTTCGACTGTTTTTTTCTGAATACGTTTCGCAATCCCAAGCGAATAACGCATCATCGCTCATACTCTAAAGCACTTTTAGTTTGAGAGGTGAAACCTGTGTTACTGCGTTATCGTCTCTACACGTTTTCCACACCTGTTCGTAATTGTCTTCTATTTCTTGAATTCCCAAACTTTTTTGGCTTCTTCTAATCCGACAGAAATGCGAGTTGTGTAAATAAAAAACCCAATCTAATTCATCGTGAACGTCTCTGGGGTGAAAATGTCTGTTTTTGGGATTATAAATTTGAAACGAAGCGTTGAATTTCTTGTTGAATTCCTTCATTCTAGCACAAGTCATCACTCCTTTTCTATTTGCTTTTGAAAACCCGTTGATGTATTCTTGAAATTCTCTCGTTTAGTCTTCGTTTAAAACACGATTGACGCATTTGATAAAACAATGACCATCTGTAGGTATGTAACAATTTTCGCCTTCGTATTCATTGATCTTTTTAAGCAGATCAGTTCCTCCTCTGCCAACTCTCGATCTTTTTATTTCTTGGAAATTGTCTTTCATTACAATTATTTTTCCTGTAAAATACCAATCGGAAGCATCGGATTTTTTGTACATATTTGAAAAGATATTGTGAAAGGTTTTGCCATTGAAACCGAGGAGTGACATGTATTGTCTGTGATTCCCTTCCTCGACTATTCTCTCTATTTTAATTTGTCCTTTGAATGTTTTAAATTTATCAGAGGTAGCCTTGATAACATCGGAAAATAGGGCGTTTTCTATCAATGTTTCATCGTCTGCAAGTTCGATTTTATTCATATTTTTTTAAGTATATATTTTTGATTATTTCTTTATTTTGACCGCTGATATTTCTGTATGGAATTTGTCCAAAATTTCATTGAATTCTTGTAATTCTTCAACTGATATGTTCTTGTCTTCTCTCGATCTTTCGAAAAAGATGTACAATTGATTAAGATACATATTCAAGATATCCGATTTCTTTTTATAATGAGCTTTCTTTTTGCTCGTGAAACATAAAGTGATGAGACCGCAAGAAGTCGTTTGAACGGCTGTTAATGCAGCCAATACGGTTGGGACGATGACCGGAAGCATTAATCCACCAGTCACGGCCGTTGCCACCGTTACTCCTACCGTTAGAACTGTGCTCGCTGTTTTGA